CTGAATTGAATCTATCAGGCAGGGTTTCTTTTTGGGACCAGGAGCAGTTAAACAAGTGATGATTTTTACTGAATTGGTAGGAATCAATTATTTGTACCACAAAGTTAAATGATTTTAGGAGACTGTTTCTTCGAGCAGTAACTGCTCTGCTGGGCGTGTTCTTTAACATACCGTCAGCTGCTGCTGAACCATCCTTGTTTAAAGGAGAATTGAACTGGCAGTTAAACAACCTATTCAAAATTGTGGAACTGTCATTGACCTATCCCTGTGTGAAAGGGCTAGTTATTTTCTAAAGTCTCCATTAAGCCCATGCCTGCTCCTTAAGAATGGTTAGAATCGAAAAAAGCAGCTTTGGTTTGCTTTTCACAAGCTGGAAAGACAAGGGGACAGAATTCCCCTGGCTTTGTAACTGCTGTGTTCAGAAGTGTTTTGTATGTGGGTCATATAAGAACAGGGGCCTGCCATAAGTGTAATAGCCTCCTACCCGGTAAGAGAACATTCTCCAATCTTCCTTTTGAAAGAAACTTAAAACAAACTAGGTCAGTGTTAAATTCATTAGTGTATAAAGAAATGAACAGAGACACAAGATTTAACTAGGAGGGACTCCTCTATGGAATATGACCCAATGAACCTGGCCTATTCCTTCCAAAACAACACAAGAGGAGGCAAGTTCACAGCCTTAAGTTTAATTCTGGATCTGGAAAAATATGGCACGAAATAATTATAGTCCCTAGTCTCTCGGACAAAATAAAGAAAAAGGATGAGGCAACACTCTAAGTCTCAGAAGCCCAAAACATACAAAACATTCCTGAAAAAACCTCGCAAGAAGAGACGCTCTTGACTGAATTCTTCAACGTCTAGGAGAAAGGGAGAGTAGATGGTATATCTAGAACTCCAGCCTCTCTCATGCAGAAGGGCCAGTTTCCTCACTGAAATCACACCCAGAATTCCCCAATCAAAAGACTTTATATTTTACAGAATTAGCATAATTGGTCATAAGTAAAAATTCCATTGATGCCAGGTGTGGTACCACATGCCTTTAGTCCCAGCACTCGGGAGGCAGAGGCAGGTGGATTTCTGTGAGTTTGAGGCCAGCCTGGTCTACACAGTGAGTTCCAGGCCAGCTGGGGCTACAGGGAGACCCTGTCTCAAAGGACAAAAAGAAGATGCAAGCCAGGTTTTCCACTGATGTGAAAATATCCTACCTTCAAAGCATGAAAAATACTATAAACCACAGCATTGGAGCTAATTTTATTTTGTTCAGTAATCAGATAACGGGCTTATTACTGCTATTCCAAAGGGAAATAAGCATTGTACCTTAGATAGCTTCCAAAATAAGCAACAATATTTGGGTGTTTACAGTCTTTCATCATAATGATTTCTTGCTGCACAACTGCAAAGTCTTCACCTATAAAACACAAGCATGGTGGATGTTTAGTAGGTAAGTTTCAAAAATGTTCATTTACTTCAAAACATTAATTATATTTATTAGTAAATAAAATATAGTTATTGACTTATACATTAAATGTAACCTATAAGTTGATGGTATTACTTTTAACAATTTCAGTCCTGACTTGAAAGAAAATGTATCACCATGTTTAAAATTGTGAAATTCACTCCAGACTTTCTGAATTCTAACTTCGTTCTTCATTAAGGTGTAAAAGCTGACCGCAAAGGGCTGTTATAAATTCTAAATGGATTACTATATACAAAATGCTTAGCAGAGTACCTGGCCCAGAGTAAGACAGATATAAACATTTACTGTTAGTACTATTATACCCTGAAAATTGTCAGTACAATTTTCACTAGGAAATACTATTACTTTTCCCTTTATTACTAAATAATGTTTAGCCAATTGTGGTGGCACATACACTTGTAAGAGATGCTGAAGAGACAGGCAGGAGGATCGCTGAATTATATTGAAAATACTTTAGCATAGAGAGGGAATTCTTTTCTAAGTTAGGGCAGGACCCTTGGTTCACCAAGTGTGTCAAATGTACTTCCACAGGCTCTGCAGTGCTGGAAGCCCATACTCGGGCAGTCTGGGTCACAGATGATCCACATTCACAGGCCTCTCCTGTGCTTGGTGCCTTTTCCCAACATTGGTGGGATGAAAATGCACTCTGTCTGAGCCTGGTCAGACTTAGCAAATCATTTGTCTCCTTGTCCCTCCTTGTCCAGGATTCTTCCAAATAAGACTTGGCAATCCTACAGCACTGCATGCTGTGACTGCTAAAAGTCACTTGTCCGGGAGAAAGAGAAGTGCAGGGAGTGCGGATGTGAACCAGGAAGGGACAGGGAGAAAACAAAGCAGAAGTCCTAATCCTTAACCAAAGCAGCTCATGTTACTGATTCAATTTTTAGTATTATAACCCATGGATATCCTGATAAAATGTGTAACAGAGGCAAAGTGACAAACAGCATGTTTTACCCATGACCACTCAAATCCTAAGCACGCCCTGCCACTTCTGGCCTTGTAAATGGACTATTGTAACTGAACTAGCCTAAGCACAAATCATTTGAACCTGGACTCAACCCACCTTACTGTCCTGTCCTAGTTACAAAAGAAGAAGTAATGGAGAAGAGATAGCATGTTAGGGCCTTGATTTCTCTAATGGTATGAACAAAAAAAATACAAGTCTCCAAAGGGAGCACAGGGAATGTCTATGCTCTCAAAAATTCAGATCGGTTCTATGTGTCTATTTCATACCACTAAAAATTCCAGATTTTCAGTATATTAAGAAGAAATTCAAGTTAGAAGTAATAGTTATAATAAGACTATAGGATTAGGGGGCTGGGGAGATGGCTCAGCGGTTAAGAACACTGGTTGTTCTTGCAGAAGACCCGGGTTCAAATCCCCGCATCCACATGGCAGCTAACAACAGTCTGTAACTCCAGTCCCGGGGGATCCGGCAGCCTCTTTTGACCTCCATTGGCATTGCACGACACGGGTGCATTTACCTACATGCAGGCAATACACGCATACACATAATATAAAAATAATATTGGGAGGCAGAGACAGGCGGATCTCTGTGAGTTCAAGGCCAGCCTGGTCTACATAATGAGTTCCAGGACAGCTGGGGCTGCAAGGAGACCCTGTCTCAAAAAAGAAAAAAAAAAGTTTTCCTTAATGGGGCTGGAGAGATGGCTCAGAGGCTAAGAACACTGACTGCTCTTGCAGAAGACCCAGGATCAAATCCCAGCACCCACGTGGCAGCTAATAACTATTCGTAATTCCAGTTCCAGGGGCTCAGACAACCTCTTCTGTCCTCCAGCAGGCAAGATTTGCAGGAAGCTTTGCACGACACAGGTGCACTTACCTACATGTAGGCAATACACATACACACGTAAAATAAAAATAATAAAAAAAGCTTTCCTTAATGTCAAATTAATATATTCTTTATAAAGAATTTGGGAAGCACTACCTTCAGCAGGGGCTTCTCTTCTCAGCATCGCCACCTGCGCAGTGATCTTTGTACACATCACAGCCCTCGTTATGCTATGTCCATGCCTGTGTCTATGTTCTCACTAGAACGTCAAGTCCTCTTTAGCAGGATCGTGCCCCACGCATCTGTGGTCTTAGGATCTAATATATCATCTAATATACAACTGAATGAATCTATACACAACAGCATGTGATTCCTCTTTGAGGGTACTACAAATCAAGAACAGCAGCTTTTGGGTTTGTTTTATACAAGTATTAGCACTTTGTACTTTTGGTCATTTATTACTCTAC